TGTATCGCTGTCTGCAGGCGTTTTTATGAATGGTCCTTACGGTACGGTTACCGGCAAGGCTGCAGTAAATATTGACAACGGCGTGTATACGCTCTCGCTGCAGGACGTAAAAATATCCAACGGCCCCGACCTGCATGTATATCTTTCCAGAGAATTGCAGCCGGTTAATTTTATAGATCTGGGTAAATTGAAATCAACCGCTGGCAATCAATTGTACGCCATCAATGGCCAGCCCGATCTGTCTGTTTACAAATATGTACTTATCCATTGCCAGCAATACAATCATTTGTTTGGAAGTGCGGCTTTAAAATAGCATGTTATGAGAAAGCCGGTGATAATATGGCCATTTCTTTCACTGCTGGCATTTATGCTGATATCTTTTGGTTTCAGTTTTCCACGAAGCGGTTACCAGAATGTCAGGTCAGTAAATAATGGTATAGCTGTGGTAGAATTGTTTACGTCGGAGGGCTGCTCCAGTTGTCCGCCTGCAGATAAGGTGGTGGCCGCATTGGCTGATGATTACCCTGCCACTGTATTTGTACTGGGCTTTCATGTAGATTACTGGAATTATCTTGGTTGGAAAGATCCTTTTAGTAATGCCGCCTGGTCAAAAAGGCAGGAGGCATATGCCGGCGCATTTGCATTAAACAGCGTGTATACGCCGCAGGTGGTGGTAAACGGCCGGTACCAGTTTACCGGTTCAGATAAAATTCGTTTGTACAATACTGTTGAAAAGGAATTGGCAAAACGTCTGCCAGGCATGGTTGAACTGGAGGCAAAGATGAATGGGGATTCCATCCTGGTAGATTATAAAACTGCAGGAGCGGAAAAATCGTGGTTGCATTTTGCATTGGTGCAGCGCATGGCGGGAACTGCGGTCCAGCGGGGTGAGAATCGTGGAAAGCAATTGCACCATATTGATGTGGTGCGTGATTTTATCAGTTCGGAGTCGGCAAGCGGTTCAGTTGTTCTACACCTGCCTGCGGGGATGTCGCCTGCGGATTTCAGGGTAATAGGTTTTGTGCAGCATAAGATCGATATGAATATCAGTGGCGCAGCGGCCTGTTCAATCCAGTAGAAGCAGTAGTTCAAACTGGCACATCGCCAAGGGTTCTGCACTTTTACATGCCGGGACGAATCTTTTATAATAGTGGTGCCGCCTGGTGCAGCATTTCCACATTTGCCGCACGCACACATTTTCACATTCCTCATAGGGCCATCAGGCTGCAGCCGCGCAGGTCAGAATGGTCTGTACGGCCTGTTACTTCAAAGCCACCATTGGGGTGCATTTTTCCGGCATCGTCTGTAGCAATAAAAGAACAGGAGTGAATATTTGCCAGGTCTATTACGTTAATAATGCCGCTTCCCGAGCTGGAAATCTGTAATGGGTCATCCTCGGCCCTTAACAGCACTTTCATCCACGGCGGGCAGAAAAAAATACCATTGCCCTCTGAATAGGCTTGCGACAGCAGCTCCGTCATGCCGTACTCAGAATGAATAGTTGACACCCCCAGCCGCCCGGTTAAGAAATCATGCACCTGCTGACGGGGCCATTCCTCGCGGCGGCCTTTCATGCCGCCTGTTTCCATAACTACAGTATGCTGCAGCTGCATTGGGAAGGATTCTGCAAAATCAAGCAGGGCAAAAGTAACGCCAATCAGCAGGACTTTTTGTCGCCGCTTTTCCAGTGCCTGCAGCGTTTGAAAAAGTCTTTCATGCTCATATAGATAAAAACCGCTGTTGGGGTGCCCGCTCTGTTTTACCAGTTCATCTGCCATTACCACCAGCGATGAGTTGCTTCTCTCCAGGTAGGAGGGAAGCAGTCCAATGATGCACCAATCGGAAACAGGGCCATAAAACTGCTGAAAGGCCTGCAGGAAACTCTGCCGGTACAGGGCGAGGCTTTTCACGAGGTGGCGGCTGTTGATGGTTTGGGTGGTGCCGCTGCTTTCAAAAACTGCTTCAGGCGTAAAACTGCCTGAAACCACCTGGTGCGATTTAAAAAACCGGATGGGCAGGAAGGGAATTGCTGCTATACTGTTTACTTTAACAGGTGGCCTGCCAACGGCATCCGCATATTGTGCGTATAGGGCATTGTGGGTGTATTGAAAGGCGAAGGTATCAAGAGCCAGCCGGTCAAAATCCGGTGCTTTTACACTGAAAACTTTATCATTCCATTCACCTGATATGTTAGGTAATTCGATGGGCATCGTCTAAATTTGTTGATAACATTTGAATATGAAAAAACTATTAATAGCTGGTTTTGTGTTGGTTGTGCTGTTTGCGTGCAACAAAGATAAGTATCAAACAAAGCCGCAGATTTCCTTAAAATCTGTGGGCGCCAAAGTAGTTCCGGTGAATGGTGTGCTGAAC